ACCCCTAGGAAATGTTTCATTAATGTTCACACCCCCTACAAAAGTAATATCACATTTGAAGTCTGATTTCTAATGCGGGTGAACAAATTGAACTTTAAAAAATAAGCTTTTAACTCAGTGCATACAATTGTCATACACCCCTGAAATTCCATCTTGCACCTCCTGGGGGTGTGGGCACCCCAGGTTGGGAACCCCTAGCTTAATGCGATGGCCTTGTTCACACGATGTGCTAAAATAGTAACTATGGGTGACTGTGAGTAACTGAGTTCCCACACTAAACTAAACTAAAACTATTCATTCCTCTTTTAGTCTGGTTTCATAGGCATCCATTTCTAACTACAGTGACTTCTAAAGGATGAAACCCGCATAATCATGTTATAATACAGGCTCTATCCTTTCCTGCTTTCCTACCCTTTTCCCTTACGTCCTCCCACACACTGCATTGCCACACATATTTTGTCATTTCCTCTGCTTGCCCCCTCTCCCACAGATGCCTTATGCTTTGTCTAGCGTGTTTTACTCACCCATGTGTGGTTAATTCATTCCCACACTTAATGGTAGGGGGAAAAGTACAGAACTGTTGTGTTTGAATCACTCTGTAGCTGATCCTCCTTGCCCTTGTTTTTAAATGTTCGTTTGATGTGTCCTAGGTGTGTTTCTGACAGACAGAGATCGTTTGCCCTAGGAATCCAGTGGATCGTTGTGAGGACACTAGGTAGAGTATCCAGCCAAGATTTGACAGCCTACTTCTCGTTTTGTGTTTTGGTGTATTTCCTCCCCAATGTAAAATGCATCTAATTTTGTTTCCAGCAGTGTACTGCAATGCCTAGACCATGAAAAAACGGTTTAATGATTAACTGGCATTTAGAGGCTTTAATCCAATGTAGTAAGATGGCAAGAAACTACAGGTAGTCCTCACCTAATGGCCACAATTGGGACCGGAATCTTGATCGTTGGGCAAAGTGGTCATTAAGCGAGACATCCACATGACTGCTTTGCTCAACAACCGCAATCTGGGCACTCCTGGTTGCGGTTGTTAAGCGATCTCACAGGTTGCTAAGCGGACAGAGCTGAAACACTCCCAGCAGGCAGCCCTTTCACTCTCAAACATTCCTGCGCATCACTGAGAGGTTTCTCCTCCTCTCCATGGATGGAGGGGAAATTCTTTGTGGGGCTGGAGGAATGGAGCTCAAATCTTCAGGATCTGAGCTCCGTTCCTGCACACTGCCAAGAAGTTATCCTCTGTCCCCTTCCCTGCCAGCTTCCCCAGAAAGAAGATTGCAAATGGCGATCACATGATCAGGGAGCACTTGGGAATCAGTCATAAATGCGAACTGGTTGCCAAGCACCTGAAACGTGGCCACATGGGGGGGGGCAGTGGTGCGACATTTTACAACGGCTGGAAGTGCTCTATGGGCTGTAAAGCACCCTTTCCGAGGCCATTGTAACTCTGAACCGTCGTTAAACAAATAGTTGTTAAGCAAGGACTACCTATACAGGCTTCAGAACTACGATTAGCTGAAACAGGCTTTGGGTGATCCCTTTTTTACATCTCAAGTGATAGAGTTATAGGATGGCAGCAGTCCACATTGCCAGGAGTTGATCACACTGTGATCCAACCCAACCCACTAAAGACTTGGTAGATGCGGGCTTCGTTCAGAAAAGGAGCAACCCTGCCTTTGTTTGGCATAAAACAAAAAGGATTTGGACTGATAATGCTTAGGACATCCAAGGACTTTGGAAATCATAGAGACTCCAGTTCAAATCACTGATTTGATAAAGGGATCCAAGTTGATTCGATGTATCAACCCAACTCATCTTGTCAACTCATTGGTTCAGTTTGGAAGTTCAGATCAAGTCGTCACTCTTGCCTTGGTTTTCCAGATCACTTCAGAAAAAGCCATTTCAGGGCACGCATCAAAGGAACCAAGTCGTCTAAATCTGTTTGAATTTACCTGATCCATTGATTCCAGTGGCTTTATGATACAACTGAAGAAAATCACTTGGATTTGGAGATTCAGTTTAATCGTATTCACATGTAATCTTTGAATCAAGTATTCACACAGCCTAGGAGTTACTAAGGCTGTGTGAATATGTAACAAGGTCTGGTAGAGTGGGTTTCTCCCGATCCCTTCCCTCATGCCATCTCCAGGCACCATGAAGACAAGCCATTGCTGCTCTCCTTTCATGGAACAGCATTATCCCTTCTCTTCTAGTTTTTAGGAAACCCATTAAAACATGTTTATTGGTTCAGTTCTTAGGGGCCGTAATGCTGTGATTTTTCTTTTTCTGGTAGTGGAAGATTTTTGATATATCGATTGAATACTTCCAGTGCTTATGATTTGTTTTCTTTTCATTGTAATGTTTTAACTCAGTTTATGGAGGTTGGGGTGTATGCTGCTTAGACTGGTTTGCAGTTGGAGTGACCTATAAGCACAGACAGACAGACAGACAGACAGACAGACAGACAGACAGACAGATAGATAGATAGATAGATAGATAGATAGATAGATAGATAGATAGATAGATAGATACAGTAGATGATAGTTCTATAACTCCAAAGTGCCATAGTCACTCCAAAGCTTCATCAGATTTCAGGAAAGTCTCACTGAATCTTGCCATTCTGATACCGTACACTGTCTTTTGGATTCAATCTGGTGAAACGTTCAAGGGACAGGCTTTCCAGTAAACAGTGGTGGGCATACAATAGCAGCGTGTGATGCACTGCAGCTATGCTCATTTAAACAAAGATACACAATCAGTTTTCTGAAAATGAAACTAATGAGACCTCCAGAGATTTAATTAGGATGCTCTGCACTGCTGCATTCTGAAATTTTGGCATTTCCAAGTGCGGTATAGACGCTGAGCTAGAAATGTTCCTTCCAAGAAGGATGACCACTTTTGCTATTATTCAAGGGAGTTGTCTTGTGAACATATATAACGTTGATCTTGGAACTGGTATTTTTGAAAAAGGTCATGAAATGTTCTAAGTGAATATTGTCTTACTTGCCTGTTCTTTTGAAGTAATATTTTCCATATGAAGTTGGCCAGTTGAGATTTTCAAAACAAATCTAATTCCAACAGAGACAAGAGAGAGCGTGATTAACACCAGGTTCCATGGAATCAAACATTTCAGCTATTCCAGAACCATTTGGGTAAGACATGAAGTCTATGAGATATATGATACCTCTCGTTTCCGTCTTTCTATAGGTAGCATCCCAGGCCCCATTGCTTTTGGGTCAATGATTGACAAGTCGTGTCTCCTGTGGCAGAACCAGTGTGGTGAACAAGGATCTTGTTATGTCTATCAGAACTCTGCCATGAGTCGATATACCCTGATTGCTGGTCTGATATTCAAGGTAATTCCAGATTCCACCCACATCTCCCCTTAATTAACATTAAATAAAATCTCCCTCAAGTTAAGCTCAACTCCAGGTAACTTCATGAAGACTTCCATGTAGCTTTCTTTGCAAAAATAAGGAAATAGTTTGCCACTGCCTTCCAGGCAGTCTAGTCTGTAGCCCTGGGATTTTCTGGTGGTTCCGTCCATGTTCTAATCAGGTCTGACCCTGCTCACCTTTTTGAGAACAGTCACAGCCAGTTTCTATAAGCTAATGCTATTTCAGTGGGGGGGTTTTTAGCCCTATCTTCTATCCAGTTTCCCAAAATCCAACTGAAATGTATCATTCACACCCCAAATCCAACTGAAGTATATTAATTCAATTGTGGATGTAACTCACCTGCCTGAACTGAGATATAAATATATAGTATTTGTGCATAGGCAAATACCTAACCTAACTTGGGCTTCTCACTGTTATGCTACATTTCTGTGTGTAAATAAGGTTTGCATATGGCAGTTCATTGGAAGGAGATCCTGGTATAAAACTCCTCTACCTTTTTTTCTTTCTTTTACCTACCTTTTTCTTTCTTTATCACATGCCTTACATTTTATCCTTGAAGAACAAATTATTCCAGATGGTTTATAGAAGCTAGAGACCAAATTGTCTGGGGAACATAGATATCAGGTAGAAGCCCAGTGAGGTCAAAATTACCATGTATGTCATGCAAATGATGCATTTGTGCAATGGCATCATGATATATAACATCACTTGCCTCCCATGCAAATATTAACGGCATTAGTCTATGTTTAGACCAAGATTTAGGAGGAACCAACAATGGGTACTACTATGTTCTGAAATGTGAGGAGACATCAGGGTATTATTTCAGATTTGCTTGGTCCATCCAAGAGTCAATCATTTACAGTTTTTGTCTTGTATTCTGAGAAAATAGGGGCAAGCAGAAATGGTGTTGTTTCTAAAAGATTCAAAACCCAAGTCTTGGTGTCTTGCAGGTGATGGGGTCATGTTTCTTCCTACTAGCCTGTATGCTCTACAAGCCTCCTTCACCTGAATCCCTCCCTGGAAGTTCTGCTGCCTCTGAAAATGGAACCTGTGATCCCCAGGAGAGCAAATGTTCACATCCATCTCCAGACAACGTATAGCCCTTTGGCTGCAACAAATAACTTTCATACAATCGCCAAGAACCTGCTCCAAAAGATTGTGTACTCATCTCTTCCTGCAGATTTTGCTTGTTTTCCCCTTTTGCAGGAAAAATAATTTCATGAAGATCTAGTACAGTTGAGTTTTTTATGAGAAGCAGAAGCACAGAGCAAAACGTGGATACTAATCTTTCCATTAGGAAAAGAAGGAGCAAGAGTTGCAAGGATCTTGAAGAGACTGATTTCATTTTCTCATGGATCTGTGCTGCTATTCTGAGACGGGGTGCCATGCTCTTGGAATATTAAAAGGAAAATGGAAAGTGACAGCTTCTGCAGGTTACAAGAAGCTGTTTTTCCTGCCTTCCCTAGTGAGGGACCCTCACTTCATAGAGTGTTTTGACCTTGTGTTTAGACACCAAATCTCAGTCTGACCTCAGAAAATCACAAAGATTGGTGCCATCAGTTCTATCCACATCTTACAGTATTAATTTATTTAAAGAAGGGCTAAACATAACTTTATACCATTCCTTTATAGAGCACTTAAGAAGCCAACCATACACTGGACCACATATTCAAGCTGGTGTAAAATCTTCTTTGGTGTAAGTGAGATCTAGCCAGCCCATAGTTTGTTGATAAAAAATGTGAAGTCTTTGTTAGGTAATTTTTTTTTTTGTCTGTTCATTGCTTGATGATTGCAATATTGTAGTGGCTTACAGGTGTGAATCTGCTGTCATAGATTAAATCTCTAACACAGCTTTGACATCGCACACAACACCTCAAACACTACCATTTCCATGTGAAACCATTCAATCTTCAGTCATTGGGTAAGCATTCCTAAAGTGATGGACAGGTTATCAATGTATTTAACCCTTTTGTGATCATCAGTGAGTACCTGGTCAACACACCTCCTATGGCTGGTTTCCTCTTCTGTTTATTTGCTTTATCTTGTCTATTCACTCAAAAACAAACAAACAGGCTTCCAACATGCGGTAACACTTGTTGAGACATCTCCCAGGCATCTCCTAAATCTTTTGCCAGATGATCACCCAGACAGGATGGTTGGAGTTGGTCTCCTGTTCCCATCAGAATCCATTTTACATACTGCCAGACAGAGAAAAATCAGTATTTTCCCCCTTTCAGTTTGATGAAAGAGAAGTTGCTTTTGAAATTCTTTCAAAAGTGAAGAGAATTTTGGAGAACCCCCTCAGTGACGTGTGTGATCCATGCACTTAGTTACAGAGGAACCATAAAACATGAGCAAATGACTTGTCTTTTATTGGACAACCTTTCTCTAGCCATCTCCAGCCTCTCTGATTTTCCCCAATTTCATTAAAAGTTTTTGTAAATTGCTTTTGTGGTGAACGTTATTCAACTTGCTTTAAATTGTCACGTAAACCTCTTTGGGATTTTTTTCAGAAAAATGCAAAGTGGTATACAAATGTTACAAACAAACACAATCCCAAGAGATAACTTCAGAAGGGGACCCCCACCCTTTTTGTTTTCCCAGGAGCAATGCTACTGTTGCAACAAAAGGGTGTGATGTCCTGCCTTTGAGAACGTGGAGAATTTCTCCTTCCTCTGCAGAACTTCCAAGAAGTCATCTGCTCAGTTTCTCTTCCCATAAACAGAATCATAAAAAGCAACTTGTGCCCCACTCTAATCTTACTGTTTCTGGAATGGAAATGCTATTAACTTTTTCCTGATTGATCACTGTGGGTTTGCCTTTGGTATAAAGGTAGTAGGCTGCAGAATCTCCCAACAAAGAAGGGTTTTTTCCCCCTTTTGGTGCTTATTCTGTAAGAATTTTGTTGGTATCAGAACAAGCGACCCTTGGACAAATCCTGTCTTCTCATGCCTCTGCCATCCTATTTCTACCTTTCATTTCTCTGGTTTTTAGGGCTCCCACCACTACCAAAGAAGAAATCCACTCAGGAACAGTCTGTTTTCTTTAAACAGCACCAGAATCCGTTTACAACATCTTTGGACATCTGCTAGGGATTTGACAGGGACCAGCAGTGGCATGTTCCTTAAATATTTATTTTTGTAATTGTGCCATGGAGAAAAAAAAAATTCTTCTGTGTTTTTATCTCCAGTTTTATTTCAATTTGATGGAAGTAATTTTGCTTTCAGATTTTTTTTTCCAAAGGAGGAGAGAATTTCAGCAAAATCTTCCCGTATGGGTGGAGTAGAGTGCTTCTGCACTTAGTCACAAGTAGCCTGAGAAGTATGAATGGATATCCTATCTTTCATTGTACCAGCATCTCCAGTGACCTGCAGTCTCTTTGGATTGCTGTGTTTCAATTAAATTCCCAGTGTGAGGGAATGAATTCCACTGGGACAGCCGTACTGGGAACTCAGGACAGCTAGAAAGGCTGCAGAGGGATGCAAAGATGAGTTGCAAAAAACAGCAACTCCACAATGGCATCGTCTCCTCCAACAACAATCATCTTTAAGACCCCACTGAGTAAAAATCTTAAACAGTCTGAAAATAGGGTAGAAAAAAGGATGCCTGTTTCAGAGGTGAAGCAACTTTTTCAGAATTGTAAAATAGTTTTGCACACTATTGTTTCTGATTGCAGGTCATTTTTATTTTGCACAAGGCCTCCAACATTGTATTGCTCCAGAACTTGGTGGAAGATGAAAAGGGCTGCTCCAAGAGTCTTTTTTTTCCTGTATGGATTGAAATGCTTCTGCTGCTGCTACTAAGAAAGAATCTGCGGACCCTGGAGGGAGAGGGTATTAGTCAGAAATGTGGCTGAGGCCCCTCAAACCAGGAACGCCCCTGTTCTTACCTCTATGTTTTATCACATGGACTACACCTCTCCCAAATTAATGAGAAAAGGCACAAGACAAGAACAATCAATTTATAATGACTTTTGAAGTCATTCGGTTTCACCAACCCAGCTTTTGCTCTGTTGCACAAAGTTTAGTAAGAAAAATATTCTGCCCAGGGCTGGAATCTCGGAGGAGGAGGAGGAGGAGGAGGAGGAG